ATTTCAGCAGGAGCTGGGATGAATCCCATCAGAGCCTTCTCTCAAGATCTCTTAGTCACTAGCATGGTTCCTAGCACAAAGATTTTACATGTTAAGTGTTCAATACATACTGGGACCCCAATTCTTGCTTTAAGCTGTATCCATCTATACTCAGCATATTGCACTGTCAGGAGCCACCACCACATCCCTCCACTGGTTGTGCTTTTGGCAGCTGGGAGACTTTTCTTTGTTTTTAAACATAGCACCTCCTTTTCTTCCTCCTACCTCTCCTCCATGGCCATGTTCTAGCTGCCAACATCAATAAGTTAAACTTCTAAATTTAATGTTAATCTAAAGTCATCCATTTAATTCAGAGAGCTGTTTGCAAGAAGGAGCTTTCAGTCATCATCCATGGGAACAGAAGTATTCCCATGGCAGTGGAAGAGAAAAACTTGGGGTCTGGCACACTGATGATGTAGTTCCAGACAGGAATCTGCTTGCTTTTTTGTTTGTTAGCTTTTAATATAATCCCTTCCCTTTTTTCTTGCATATATCAGTAAGGCAATAATCAGGTTTTGCAGCAAAACATTTCTATCTTTTTTCTGGCCAGAATTTTGCGTGCAGCTCCAGTGTCCCAGAGCATCTGTGTGACCTCACACTTGTCTGAAAATCTGGGCATTCTCTGCATTTTGTAAGATATCCACCCCTCCAAGCCTGGTCCGTATGACTTTTGCACTCTCTCAGCTGGCATCAGAAAGTTTTCCCAGGGGCAGGAGGTAGCATGAAGCAGAGTTGAGCTGGATCAGGTCATGCTTGTGCTCCACTTACCCCACAAAAAGGCTAACCCACATTGGGTTTGCACAGCACCCTGCTTTTTAAAGGAATCTTTTACTAATGAGTTCATTCACCTCTCTAGAAACTCCTCTGCAGAGCTGGGCACTGGCTTTTATCTGTCCTCTGAGCCCACCAGCAAAGCACACAATCTCTCCCAAAGCAAACACATTCCAGTGTGAGTACCAGCAGATGGAATAACAGGCTCTGTTGGCATGGATAAGGTTATTGCTGGAGAAAAAATTGCAGGATTGGACCCCTGAGGAGTGAAAGTCAGCAGAAGACGGGGCTGACAGGATGTTATGTGTGCTCTGCAGGGCCACTGTGTCCACTACCCTCTCCACGGCCTGCTAACATCTCAGCCTTGCTTCCATGAAACAATCCCTATGTTTTCAGCCCAGAAATAGTTCTCTTTTGAAGTTTAAAAACAGTTATGTCACAGCTGAAGCAGCTGTTCAGCAACAACCCAAGCAAGCAGCAGTTCCCAGTGCTGCCTTTCCAGAGATGAGCTGGCTTTGTGTGTCCCAGCACAGAGGAGGAGCAGGAGGAAGCATGACCAGCCCAAAAAGTATTTCAGGGAATGCCTGTGGATGGGCTTAAGCTCCACAACAGAGCCTGAGAGCTGCTGCACAGTGCACAGTGCCTGCCTGCCTTTCAAGATGGGAAAAACTGGCACGTTTGACCATTCCATGGATTTAAAAATGTTGCTCTAACACAAGCATACAAGCCTCTGCACCTGGGAATGCAGAGAGTTCAGGGTGAGGTTTCAGCCATTTCCCCACAGCTGCTGGCCCAGGGCTTGTGCCTTGCTGGTGTCAGCTGTGGGATGAGCTGAGAGCCCCAGTGAGGACAGCAGGACAGCGTGGCCACCACAGCCCTTCACGTGGCTCCTTAAAAAGCTCAGTGTCAGTGTGCAGAGAGCTCAGAGTAAGACAAGAGAGATGTTCACAGCTCCCACACCCACTGGTGTCTCCTTCTGAGAGGTTCCTGTGCTGCCACTGCACCAGCCAGGTATTCTGTTCAGGACCTGAAGTTACAAGGTGTTAGCAGCACCTTGTAATTTCACCCAGTTGGATGTTTTAGGTGTGACCACAGACCTCTGTCATGAAAGAAATCATGGGTTAAAAGAGTACAGTTAACTGAAAATGGAGATGGTGCCTCATTTCTCACAATGAAGGAAACAGAGGATGCATACAACTTCCTTTCAAATACTGGGTCTTACTCATTAACCAAATTTTTCAAAACACATGGTGTGCATGCCATGTGATGTGAATGACAGCATGAGAGCATTCCTGTCAGCCTCCTTATGGCCATTTCTCATAATGCCTCAGAACAGCACAGCAGACCACACTGAATTTGAACTTTCCATGATTAACCAATGGATTTCAGCGCTGTCATTATGGTTTGACCAAAGATTATTGCTTTGGTTCAGTACTTCAGCAGCATCATCATCAAATTATCACATTGCAGTGACATTTTCCTTCACACAGTGATTTCATTCAAAGCAATGTTTGCTAAGAGAGAGAACTGAGTTGAGGTCTTCAGCACTTCCGAAGCATGGGAGGATTGCAGGAAGTTTGATTTAAATAGAGCCCATATATTATTTTTAGTAAAAGGCCTTACAAACTCAGAATGGAGAACTCAAAAAGCCCTTGTTACAGAGGCCCGTGCATGGACTTCAAAAGTCTATTTGGACTAATAAAAATCCAGTTATTGACCTCAAAACCAGGATGAGAAGAGGAATGATGCTGTTAGGAGAGGGGAGAGGTGCAGGTCAACAATGAAACTATAGTTTCAACTATCAACACTGTAAGCAACACTTTCATTTAGAGCAGAAATATTGATTATTTCCATTCATTGACATTTAAATATTACTGCTGTTTATCAATGACATGTATTATTATTATTTGGGAACTTCAACAAAATTTTAAAATTTGGTTGTTTCCTGTTTTGTACAAATCATGTGATTTCTTATTTTAAATTTTGAACTTGCAGTATGAAAGCCCATTGTAATAAGAAATCATTTCATGTTGAAGTTAAAAACTCCACATTTCTTTCTCATAGTGGACTATTTATTGTTTACCTGAGATACAGCTAGCAGCTAGATATAAGAAATAGACATGCCAGCCAAGGTTCAGGACATTTACTGAATATCACAGCATCACTCCATCCTGCAGTTTTGACCAAATTATGTTATGCAGATGATGATGATGGGCTTCAACTCTGTGAAATGGTAATTTTTGGAATGGTTAATCAGTGGAGGCATTTTAGGTGGAGATTACAGCTCATTTTTCACCTTGTCCAATGCACAGCTTGCCTGGCAAGCATCCTGCCACATGCCTGCCACATCAGAGATATTTTATGTGGTCAAACACTGGGTATGAGTCAGTTGTTGAGTTTTGGCTTTGTTTTAAAATAATTTTGAAGCTGGTCATCCTATATAGAAGTCTAACTTAAATGTTTTTGCAAACATTACACACATAACTGCATTATAAGGGCAAGAACTGACTAGGACCAAGCACAAGAGCCTCTGTTAAAATAGCTGGCAAGTCACATCAGCTGGAAATATTTCTCTAAGGGCTGAGTCAGTCTGGGTGGCACCACTGAATGAGGCAAGTTTGGATGAGAGCTTTCAGACAGTGCATGGTACTTGAACTGGATCCTACCTGCATGTTTTTGAAGAGAGAAAATGGGGAGACAGAGGGCTGCACGCAGTAGTTTTACACTTTTTAAAGAATTTAATCTGCTGGTTGGGAGAAGCCCCTAATCCTGCAACACTGAGTGACAGGAGCCAGGCCTGGTTGAACCACTTGACTGCTATTACACAGAAAAACCACTCCAGAGATGAACTGTCAGGTCAGCCTTGTCTAAGAAGAGATTTTTAAGACATCTATTTTTCAGTTCTAATCCTTTATGCTATTCCTAAGTTTATTCTTTTGGGCAAATTTCACATAGTCTGCTTTTATGGAAACAGCTTCTTTAAACACTAAAAGAAAATGATGCCCTTTGGTGCTTTTAATTCAGTGTCTTTGTAGTAATTCATGCTGAAAAAAGGTGGCAGGGGAGCCCTTATAAAGCTCTATTAATTGAAATAAATGAGCCATGCTTCGGAGAACAGTGTACCATAGAGGAAGGTCTGCCTTCTGAATCCTGCTCCCAGAGATGTCCCTCGTGATTTCAGGCATGTCATAAAATCCACTGTCCACCTCATTTTCCCACCTTATTAAGAGGGGTCTGAGGTTGTTCTTTACCAGAAACCTCTGGGTGTTGTGAAGCCCAACTCAGTGCTTCAGAAGCACTTGGAGGACCTGGGATTTTATTTTGAAAACCATACCAAATGCTATTATTTCCCAGGGAATGGTGTTTATGAGCATACTTTCATTAGTCCCTTAGCCTTTTCTTTTTCATTTGAGTCTGGAAAAATGTGTGGAAAATCATTTCATGGGGGCCTCTGAGAGAAATGAAGCTTCTTGCAGAGTGGGAGCTCTAGGGGATCATGTAGTGGCAAAGTCAGCTCCCCAACTCCACCAGACAGAAATAGAAAAACCCCACTGGCCTGAGGATGGACTTAAAGCCCCCACTGGCCTTAGGCTGGATTCAAACACTTGGCTTTTTCCCAGCTCTTTCATTTGTATTTCAGTCTCAGAGAAAGGGGAAGGTGAGCAAGGCAGGCAGAGAAGTAAATGTGTGCTCCCTTCCTCCGTTCCTTCTCCCCAGAGATCATTTCCATCCACCTGACTTCTTTCCCAGATATGGTATCATTTGCTTCTGTGACTAATCTTTGGGTGGGAGAGAAAATAATTTTGAAAGTTCAAGAGAAACATAAGCCTGCACATTTATGAGTGTTTTTCTCCTCTTCCCTGCCTCTGAATGACCAGAGCTTTATTATTCTCTTGACTGCATGCTGAGATAGGTACTTCGCTTTCAAGCAGGGCCTGTTCCTGGCAGCAGGCAGCAGAGGATCCAAACATGGGATACTCTTTTAATGTCTGAGTCTTCCATTAACACCAATACTTTAACCTTCCCCTCACCTTCCACCCCCTCCTTGGTGTTGCTGCTTTTGGATAAAGATGTCCCAGGAAGGGTGAGGTTCCAGGGAAAGCTAGGTGCTTTTAAGAGAAACCAAAGAGGACTCAGAATTCCACTCTCTTCACATGCATCATGATCTCACTTCACATGTGTTTTTACAGGCCTGCTCAAGCACAGGAAGGACCCAGGTGCTGGTGTCATCACCAAACCCTCCGTGATGGGAGCCCAGCTTTGCCTCCAGCCCCGGCTCTGCACAGTGAGATACCTCCCAGCAACTGAGCAGTGGCAAATCAGCCTCAGTGCCACAAACAGGGCCTAGAACAAATGGCTGGCTGTCCATGAACTGCTTGGAGGAAAAGGCAGCAGCAGGATTATTATGTGGATTGGATCCTGCCCTCAGGGCCATGGCTGGCCCAGGCACAGCCAGAGAACAGAGCCAGCATTGTCCATCCTTCAGTCCACAACCACCGTGCAGAGCACTCACTGTCTGAACTAATGGGTCTTCATAGGATCCTTCTGGTTGGGAGATGATATCACAGATCGTATCTGTGTCCACTTTAGGTCTGGACTGTTGCTAAGAGAAAAACAATTCTTGGCAAATTCCTCGAAGTGCTTGCCTCCTACAGTTTGGATGAAGATGGTTTGTTCAGTAACGACGGGTAGGTGTGAGTTTCTGTCTCTTCGCCTTCTGAGAATTGTCCTCGCCAGAGCAAAACTGAAGATGATAATGCTCCCATTAAAAATGAGGTGAATGCTCAGGCTAACATGAGTGGGTGGAAAGGACTTCAAACCAGATGAATCGGGGACAGACCTACCCTTGCCAAGACAAACAGCTGCAGAGAGCTGCAGGAAAGAAAAAAGGGCACCGCTGTTCAAAATGATTCAGTCACATGGGGCTGACTGAGGCTGCCTATCCATCAATTTATAACCAAAACCAATGGCTTTCATATGAAGAAAGAAAGGTGCATCATATGTCCCACAGGAGGACTGCAGAACTGATATCATTAGGACAACAGACTGATATTCCATAGGACAACAGAGATATGGGATGAGCGCAAAGCAGAACGCTCTCACTCTCCTTCCTACATCTGTCTTCCATTTGCTTTGCCTCTATCTGCCTGTTGTTGATGTTTTCTCACATTATCTTGGTCCCCATGTTCAAGCTGTATTTCATCCAGGAGGGCAGGGAGCTCCAGGTGTGAATGAGGGCTGTGAGCATGAACTCACTGTCACAGCTATTGTTGTTATCATTCCTCTGAAAACCAGCCTGGTGGAGGTTTAGCTTTGTGGAATTTGTTCTGCTGTTTTAACTGTATCCTTGTTAGATGTGGAAAATTGAATGAAAGTGGAATGAAAATGTGGAAAGGGGAATGAAGTGAAGTGCTTTGCACGATGGCTTGCACCCAAAGGTGCAGCCTTAGCGAGTGAAATGCTGGCATGCTGTGGAATGAGATTTTGAGGTTGCAAGATTGGGGTCTGCTGCTCAAATGAATCAGGCATTCAGGACTCGCTGCTCTTCTCTGTAATGGGAGAAACTGTATGTTAAAAAAGCCAATACAGAATTTTCAATGCTCTATGTAGTTTTGATGTTTTTTATTTTAAGACCCCAATGAGATTCAGTAAATGTTTTCCCACCATCCAGATATTTAGCAATCTGAACATATACTATTATTACTATTACTATTGTTTCCATTACTGGCAGTAGACTTGTGGATGTCTGGTTATTTTTGTCTTTGGATATCCCCTGCCCACATCTAACTGGGCACAGATACTTTAATGCATTTTACAGTGGTTCCCTCTACTCCAGTTGAACCTCTGGAGATGTTATGGAGTCCCTTTGTATGTGTTGGATGAACACATCCCTGGGATCAGTGTGGAGCAGACAACTGCCATAGCATTGAGCTGAACTCCAGCTTTCCCCAGTCTGGCTTGGTGTGTTCAGTCCCTCCACAAATCAGGTGCAGCTCAGCCCTCACCCAGTGGGGATTCAGTGCACAAGCAATGGTGTTTTCCCTCAGATGGGCTGCCTCAAATACATTTGCCAGGGCTGGGGATAGCCCATGGCTGGACCACACAGACTCTCCAGATGGGCTGAGACTCCAAAGATAGGATGGCAAGCAGCTTTGGCAGTCTGGTTGGTATTTCAATAGATGGACTCTTTTTAGCTTTGTTTTTCAGGAGTTGCCCTTCTATTTTGCAACAGGCCCTTCCTGTGCCATGTTTAGCTCATTCAAAACAGCTCCAGTGTTTGTACCTCCCACTGCATTTCCTACAGTGGATATTTCTAAACCAGCTTTGCTGGTGGAGCCCTCTCCAAATGGTGTGTTAAAGACCAAATGATTTAGCACATAATTAAGAAGTAAACAATGATCAGCAAGAGGTCTGCAGTGTCTGCTACAGGACACGGCTTGGATGCAAAAAAAAGCAATATGCCAAGAAAAATGAGTAAATCTGTGTGTCTGTGTCTCGATGTGGAGAGACAGCTTCTGCTCCATCCTCAGTGGAGACACAGTTCAATGGGCATTGTTTTTTCGCTTTGCCAGTGGCAGCAACAGTAGTTCAAAGGACACCAATGGGAGAAAAGAGCTTCCTGCAGCCACCAGGAGTGAGCACAGGTGCCCTAGCTGGGCTTTTGCACACACTCCAGCTGGTTTGTGTGGAAGGGATAATTTCCTGGCTCTTCTGCCCCTTGTGCCAGACAAGAGATGGTTCTGTGCTTCCCAGCACCAGTGCTGCTTTACAAATGGCTTCAGTAGTGAGGCAAGAGAGTAGTTAAAAAGAAAGAGCTTTGTTCTGCTTTCTTCAAATTTCATCCCATGTTGGTGTTGGGCATAAAAGAAGCAGCATGCCTAAGCCACACAAACAAGTGAGGCTTTTTTTCCAGTGGTTCCTAGCTTTTGGTGTGAAGGAAAGAATCAAGACACACAAGATTATTGTGCTATGGATTTATAATAACATTTTATTAATATATTATGCTACAAAAATATTTTGATAAAATAATATTAGAAAGCATCTTTTTATTACACTCTTCAAAACAGTTCACAAAAGCAGGAGGCGGAACAGGAAAAAATATCTGAAATACATTTGAATTGAAAACTGACAAATATTCAATTTGAATTTCGGTGTGAGCATGAATCTGCAGGGTGGTTAATCAGTCCTGTAGAAGGAAAGTATTGCCTACTTACTGCAAAGACCTCTCTGCCTTTAGCTAGATTAAGGTGCCTCCTGAAGTGTTAAGTCATAGAAAAGGCTGAATTTGGGTTGGGACAGAACACAGACAACATACACATGTAAATGTACACACACACACACACACACACACACACACACACACACACACACCCCCTATGATCTTGAACTTCAGCAAATCATCTTTCTGCTTCACTTAAGCTGAAACATGCTTAAATTGAAGCTGAGTTTTAGCACACTCATGGAACATTGATCACTTCAGAGATATGACAAGACCATATAATTTTTTATATAATACAGAAATATGGTACTAAGCAAAGTTTGGCATGGTAACACTTATGCTGAGATAATAACCTTGGCACTTTGGTTTCTCTAACATAAATACATGAAGGGGAATTCCTCTCTAACAGTGGTATATGGTAATGACTGAGTCATATCATTTGACTAATCAATGCACTAAACATAGATTAGATTCTCCCTCTTTCCATTCTCTCTTTCTCCACAACTGTATATTGAAGAACTTAGATAAATATACAACTCTGTACCTTGGGTGTTCCTAAATTACAGTGGAGCTTGGAGGAATGGGAAGGCAAGTTCAACAAAGAAGATTTTTGACACCTGTATAAAGCATAGTTATCATAAATCATGTTCATCATTTATTGCCAGAAGACTTATTGCATTATCCAACAGCTCTAGGGATTGAACAGAAACTACTTCAGTCATAAAATATCAAATACCTTCTGTCCCAGCTTACTGACTGGTTCTCCAAGTGGCAGTGCATGTTAATATAATATCTGTAGTCAAGCAAGAACAGCATTAGAACAGTGAAAGGGGAAAGATTAGATTTGTTGCTGATGGTATGAGATTATTTATTCCACCAGGGCAAGATCTTGGCAGGTACTCAGCATTTGTTTATAATGCTACAGTTACATTTAATGTGAATTGTGGTGGTGTCCCTTGTAGGTGAATTGAGAAGATGAATAATGTGACCATTGAGCTTTGGACTCACCCAAAGTCGTGTCCTAGACTGCCAGACTCTGGGTGACTCTCTTGTTGCTGATTCTCAGAGATAAGCAGGATCACCAGTGTTTGCTTTTTTATGTGGTAGGCATGAATGTTTTTGCTAAATCTCTGCTCCTGGAATCTTGTGATAACATGGGAATCTGAGCTTTCCTTTGGAAGAAAGAGCTGAGTCAGTTTCTCGTTTTCTGAGAACCCCTGAAGCTGCTAGTCAGTGTTGCTTCCAGAGCACCTATCAAATCTGGTCCAGGTATTAAACTCATGGTTTATAAAACCATTAGAAATTCAGAAATCATAATCCATTGTGACAGTGTGTGTAAGTCGGTGCTAACCACTACTACTGTGTTTTAATTAATGCTGGGCTGCCATAGCTGATCAGTAAACAACTCATTTTATCAGCCACAGTGAGGGTTCATTATCCAGCATTGCTCTGCACACAGTATTGAAGAAAGTGACCCTAAATTGTACTTTAGGGTAAGACAAGAGACTAAAAGCAGTGTTTGGTTAGAGACCTGTGCTGAAGCCATTCATGTGGGGTTCCTGAGCTAAGATCTACAGAAACCTACAAAACCTTTAAGTCATGTCTCCTCCCTGAGCCAGAGAGAGTTCAGATGACTGAGGGAGCTGCTTCTAGGTGGCAAAAATCAGGTGTGTAGACCCCAAATCCAAGAGACACCTTGTTTTGACACCTGAGCTGCACAAATGTGGGGCACCAGCACAAGGGTTCTATTAAAATTCATTAATTTCCCAGAATTACAGACAAAATGCCAGGAAATACAAAGATGCTAAAACATACTTTGATACCCAAGCCATTTACATCCTGTGATAGCCAAACATACCACAGTCTCTGAGCTAATGAAAATTGAATATTACTCTTCAGTGTAGGAGTGACTCAGAAAACATCACTGGTGATAAAAGAGTGACTATTCTGTGCAGCACAACAACAGCTGGGAGTGTGGAGAGATTTGTGTGCTCCTAATATTAATTAAATTTAAAAAAAAAAAAAGCACTAGAGCTTTTTTGAGAAAGCCACAGATTAGGAAACTTCAGAATTCTCATTTCTAATCTTGGTCCTGCTGTTGGTTTTCCTTAGTCTTGGACAAGTTGTTTCTGTTTTCTGCTCTTTTTTCCCTCTCCCTTATCTTTACATGGTCTTGTCTATTTATACTGTAGGTTTTCCAACACTTGGAATTATTCCTGGGGTAGTACCATAGAATAATTTCTGGATACGATCCGGTTACAACAAATAAAATTCAATGGGTTTTGGTTTGTTGGCTGTTCACTTTTACTACGTTACTTATCGTCGCCCTTAAGATTTACCTACCTTATTTCCAGTTACAGTCTTGTAAATAAGGTATTATAATTCAGTTTTCATCTCTGCCTTGAACACATCAGGAGAACCAATAATCTTTTTAAAATGCATTACTGTTAAATTTGAAGGTCTCTTAAACCATAATATTCAAATGAAGGCATTTCTAGAGTAATAGCTCAAATAAAACCAAAATGAAAGTTCTCAAAATATGTTTTCAATATCCATCTCTGGGCAATAAATATTATGCAAGGTGAATGGCTTCTGTCCAAAACTAACATCTCTAATCTTCTGCTAGCCAAAATACACAATATGAAAGTATGCATGAGGTCTGTTTGCATCTCACATTTGGGGCAAAGCTCAAAGTTTTCCACTCAGCCTTATCAACTGTTGGGGGAAGCTTGTAGCACTCTGTGCTATTACCCACCTAAACTGACCAGAAACCTACACAACCTGCTGTCAAAAACAGAGCAAAGGCTGGGATCATGGTGTCCAGTAAATTAAAAATAAATTACCTGTATTGTCCCTGGTCTTTGCAAGGCAGTGGGCTGGGATGCATGATGGAAATGCTCAGTATTTCATCATGGAATACTGTGATTTTTGTAGTCTAGTTACTTTCTAACTTACTTTCATGAAATAACTGGTATGACAATAAGCAAAGTGTGAATTCTGGACTCTCTCTCACTGCAGAGTCTTGCAGATTGCATGGAATCATCTGCAGCTCCAGAGACCAGGCTGTAGGGCTGCTGGGAAACTTACAGGCTGTTTTCAGACAATTCTACCAGTGACATTGTTACAATTATCATCATTGTCTTTTTTGCCCACTGAAAAGCCCTGCTTTTCTTACTGCTTTTAAAGAAAAGCTTGTATTGTATTTTTCTGATTTGGAGACTTCTAAATAAGATGTTTTCATCACATAGTTTTGACTTTTGGTTTGTAGATGACTTAGGAAAAAGAACCCACCATTTCAACCAAAACTTATTTTATAAACTTTTGTATTCAAAGAGATTTTTCATCATGTTTTGGTAGCGAAAAAAACATCAACATGCCTTTTTAAA